TTTTTTTTTTTTTTTTTTTTTTTTTTGCTTCAAATGGTTGAATGTTGGTTTACTAAACGAACTGTCCGTGAAATAATAGAAGCGCCATCAAACATAAACATTGACCACTTTATTAAAATTTTTGATTGTATAAAGCCACAGAAAAGAAGGCCGACCCCTACTTTGCTATAAAACACTTTTTTCGTCTAATTTCTACTTTTACCCACACAACCCATTCACTTAGATTAATCTCTTTACTTAGTCGTTCAACTCATTCATTCATTCATTGCCCCTAAAGTTGAAAATTGTTCTTTTTTCTTTCATCTTTTTTTCACCTCTTTTTTTTGGAGTGTGACAAACGAAAAGGAAAAGTAATTCTCTGCTGCTTCTTTTAGTTTTTTGTTACCATCTTTGCCATCGTTACTCCTCTCTCTATACTTCCTTTTTTTTTTTTGCTTTTCTTTTTATATTTCCATTTGTAATTTTATTTTAACCATTTTGCAAATGCAGCAAAAGAAGAAAAAAAAAGAAAATAAACAGAGAAAATACGCATCAAGCTTAGTTCAACAGCAGCAACCACAACCGCAGAAACTGTATTGGGTATTTTTGAGACAGTATTAGTATGATTGCATTTTTACCCCGTTGCTGCTCTATGGTTGTACTGCTGTTGAAGAGCAAAACCGACCAGGCTGTACCACCTCGCACCAATTGACTTTTGAGAAGGAATTAATTTATTTTCTGCTCTCTGCCGGTCTCATGCAACCAATATACATACATACCAAAATGCCACCAACCAACTAACATCATACGTCTCCCCCTCGCCCGATACGTGTTCAACAAAACTTAAAAGGCAAAGTTGCCCCGTCGCGGTGATGATGCTACCGTTGTTGCTGCTGCTGTCAGCAACCAGCCGAACTCCGAACAGAAAAAAAAATTTGCCCATTTATGGGGTAATTTTTTTTTTACCATCATCGTTAGAGCTTTTCTTCCTTGTGATGACATATTTGAAGCACCTTTTTCCTTCTTTTTTTTTTTTCGTTCTTTGCAGAAAAAACAATATCAATACCGACAACACTAATGTCTAGCAATCTCATACAGCAATATACAGTAGTAACAGTAGCGAAGAACGGCGGCGACGGCAGTAGCAGTAGCAACAGCAAAGACAGTATCAGCATCAACGGTAACCGACAGAAGAGCAATTAATAGCGAACTGTAGAAATAGTGCTACCTTAAAGACATCATTAAACTAAACAACGATGAAACTTTTACAATGAACCCTTTTACCCTTCTCCTCTAACTATTTTTTTAGAGGAGGAAAGACTCGAGTCTTTTTATGTTGATGCTATTAACTCGTTAACAGCAGCAACAACGGCAACAACGACTATCAGCAGCCAACCAACTTAAACCATTGCCTACCCAACTATTGCCCAAATAGCACGTAACAGAACCTCATTTTTTCAAACCCAAAGTACACTACTTCTTTTTACCTACTTTTTGCTCGTCAAATAGCTTTTTTTTCCACTTTCAACGGCGACGACAACGACAACCACAAAACATAACTATGAAATTTATCGACAACCTTTATGTTTTTGTTTGCTAAAGCGCCTTTTCTACAAAATAACCTGACAGAGACAAAAAAAAAGCCGTTTACCGACTGTAACCATTAATTTTCTGTGAACACTGTACCCATTAACTATGCGCAGCGCACAATATGCGCTTCAAATCAATGACACTCCTGAATCATATAACAGTTGTCTGCTTCCGTATCCAAACCCTGCTAAGCAAACTAAAACAATTGTATAAAGCCGAATGGCAACAAAAATCATTAAAAAAAAAGTAGGCAAAATAAGGCCACAACAAACCAAAAATAGGGGAGGTGAGTGACAGCACAAAAAAAGAAGGTAGCTCTTAGCTTCGCGGTCATGTTAGTAGACTATTGAAAAATCATAAAAGCAACATAAAAAAGAAAGGAAGAAAATTAGTATGTAAAAAAATAAAAAGAGACAGGAATAGGGGAAAAAGAAAAAACAACAAAGCATCCGCGCTGTTTTACAGAAAGGTTCCATCTTCTTCTACTTCTTCTTCAAAAAAATTTTTTTGTCAATGCTTTCAAATTTTTTGTATGCGTACGACAAAATGACCTTGGAACATAACGTCTGACAGAAAAATAAAGGTATTTGGTAAAATAAACCCCCCAATAAAATATATGGCGCAAACTTATGTAGCAAAAAGAGTTTTGGTATAAAGTTGCAGAAAAAAAAAGAACAGAAGAAAAAGCCAAAAAAAAAGACTTGATTTGGTCTGACGATAGCGCCAAAACTATATATATACACTTTTATCTTGTTTCTTCTCCTACCGTTCTTCCTCGTTCCTTCCTCATTGCTCAACTCCATACAACCAGCTTAACAGTCAATGTAAAAATTAAAATTGCACAATATCAGTAATAACATAAAAAGCAGTTTTTCTTCTTTTTCAATAAAACAAAGACCTCAAACCATAATTTATGTACGCTTTCAAATAAAATAAAAAATTATTTTCGCCTAGTGATAAAAAATTAGTGATAATAATAATAATAATATCAATAACGACGGTAACAGTAAGGACAGCCTTTTCTGCTCTCAACGGCGCAGTTTCAGATGGAGACTGTCTGAAAGCTGTAGAAATAAACATACCAGTACAAAACCGGAAATTGTAATATTCGCCTAGTGATTATACAGCTGAACTCAAAAAGCTAGTCTAATTCCTCTGTCTTTCCAGCTGCCCAGTACCTTAATCTTTCTTTAAAAAAGGAAGACTGGTCACAACAACTGAACAATAGAGTCTGAACAATTTTAAAGGCTCAAAAAACAACAAGAACTGAATATATCAGAAATCTGTTCTTCAGAACAATTAATAGAATCTCCATATGAAAGAAGCAGAAAAAGATGCAGAAAAAAGAAGGTTTTTTAAAACGTAATATTATAACTTTCTTGGTGCAGAAAAACTGAGTATACCATCTCGCCGCTTTTAAAGAGGCAAAAACGAGATAACATCAAAACTAAAATATTGAAATTTCCAAAAGTAGTACAACTTTTTCTTTCAGCAGTAGACTTGCAACCAAAATTTAGCATTACCAAAAACAAGTTGAAACAAAAGAAGAGCAGAATAGAAGACAAAGATACTGTGTTTAGGATAAGCAATTTTTGGAATCAAAAAGCCTTTACCGATAATAATATTTCAATGCTGTTGCCGAGATTAATCAACAAAAAACTACATAATATAAACACCATTGTATGATGACTAAGAAGACAAAAAACGTCAAAACTACCAAATAAAAAGAAAAAAAGTGAAAAAAATAATCTTTAAAAAATTCTTCCTTTTTTTTTCATGCGTTTCACAAACAAAATGTGACAGCGAGAAAAAAATAGAGAAAACATTGAAAAAAGACACCCGATACCGAACACAAACTAATAAGGCCAGTGCGCCAATCTTCAACTTTATGCTGTTTTCCCTTCCACAGTTTACCTCCACCTTCTTCCTAGACCTCTTCCCCTACGATATCCTAGTCACTTCCCCTTCCCTTCCCCTGTCCTTAAATAATGAAAAAAAAAGACACCGACCATTAACTGTAATTGAAAATCGAAACAAATTTCTAAATGACAGACATTCATTTGAAGTTTTAAACTACCAAAGATCAACAACACCAGTGATATCTAATGGCTTACAGAATCTTTATCGTTTAGCAATACAAAATATGATTAGCCAAATGTACAAACTGAGAATTACAAACTCGAATCGAGTTCTCTGACTTAACCATAACGCGAAGAACACAAAAAACAACAAGGAAATTTAAAAAGTGATGGAAAAAAAGTGAAGAGACAAGACAATAAAATTTTGGTTAAAATTTTTCAAAAAACTTTTTCAGCAGTAATGATTTTTGTTTATTTATCAAACTGTTTTGATTATTTATTTACCAAAAATGAAAATGTACAGTTGAATGTAAAATGCACCTCATCATGGCAGACTATTATAACCTCTACAAATTTCTATGTGTGTATAGGTATGTACATCCATATCTAATACAAAAAATATTGACTCATATTTGATGAGGTGGTAAAATCTTTGTAACCCAACAAATACTGCTTTTATTCTATTTTTTTATTTTTTATTTATTTATTTATTTTTTTTTTTGAGTAAACAAAATCAAAATTGTTATAACGACAAAGAACAATAAAAATTGAACTATGTTTAGCTAGATATCTTCAATTTGTACACTTATTTTACAACCCCACCAACAGATTTATCCTATGCAAACATTCCCGACTTGTTAGGGTTACAATCCATTTCTTAATGGACCTTCGAAAAGGTAACAGAAGAAAAAACGCAGCCTAAAGAAGAAATTAAAACAACAAAAACACTTGTAGAAAGGTGAAAAAAATTACACTTATCAAACAATAAGGAAACCAAAATAAAGCCTCGTTCAAGTG